AGGGGGTGGAGGGAGGTGGAGGGAGGTGGAGGAGTGAGGAGGGTGGAGAGGTGGAGGGGGAGGTGGAGGGAGGTGGAGGGGGTGGAGGGAGGGGCGCAGGTTGAATGTGTAACAGCATCACTGTATATTTCTCTATATATAATGTATATAAATATCATTGTGTTGATGTGTGTTGATATAGTGTGTAATATGTCAGAGCTTTGTCTGTTAGATTGAAATATGGAACCAGAGCTCATTGATCCTGAAGAGTCTCTGACCACTGAACCTTCAGACGTGGATGTCACATGAATATCTGCTTTCCTGTCATTCAAACATGGTCTAAATGTGTAGAAGAAGTCCATGTTGCCTGTTGAGAGCTGACAGGACTGGAGGTTTGTTCCTCCTGTTCAGGACAGTAACAGTAACAGTGTTTGTACAGATCACAGTCTGTGTCCAGTTTGTTCACAATCACAACGTGTCATATCTTTGATCTCTGCTGTTTCTCTCTCATTAATTACTGATGATGTCTGTTCACTCAACTAACTGATGACTTTTTTCTTCAAGTAGCTAGCATTCGTTAGCTAAATAGTAACATAAGGCTAAAGTTAGAAACTAGCTAACATTAGCCTTCATCTATAGATACTTGATAATCTAATTGAGAAACTCTGAAAGTAAGAAAGTAAAGAGTATGAAACAAGTTAGATAGTTAGCTACTCCTACTTACATTTAGCTACAGTGTTTAAATATATAATATAGTTTTCATACAGTATGTGTGAGCAGGTGTTAACGGATGTGTGAGTGTGTAGTTGTGTTACATCATTTCAGCAGCTGCAGACACAACGACAGTGAACAGGAAACATCTCTCTGTACCCTGGCTTATGTTTGACACACGACACATTCGTGTTTGTGAGGCAGTGGAAGTTTCCAGTTTACAAGCCCATGTTAAACATATACAGTACAGACACACACACACACACACACACACACACACACACACAACTTACAAAATAACGTAATCAGTTGTTGTTGAGCAAGTCGTATTAATGAAAGTTGTTCAGTCAGCGCTGCACTATCAGTGTTTTTGTCCCAGAAAGCTCGTAAATGGACCAACACACACACACACACACACACACACACACACACACACACACATTCCTACCTTAAACAGTGGACTGTCGGACTATGCTGACCAAGCGTCAATGACTATTTGGAAACAGAACATTTTTATTTAAGGTCTTTTGTAATTTTCTATCCACCCACCTGAGGGACGTCCTCCACCTGCAGTGAGACTTCAATATACACAGATTCCCCTCATGTCCTTTGAAAATTGATCATTAAATAGTTTTTAACATTTAAACATGAAGAAATATTCAGAAAATAATCATAATAAATAATAATAATAATAATAAATAAGAGTTGCATCTTGTTTTCACTAATGTGACACAACTTTACAAAAACCATTGAACCTTATATAATGTAAGCAGTCTATATTAGCTGCTATAGCCGTGGTAAGCTAACATTGTTGTGGCTAGTGTTTTGTAATAGTTGCAAATTATTTTAAAAACTTTGTCGCAACATGTTTCATTAAAATCTCAGCTGCTCAGTTCCCATCCCATAATCCCCTGCTTCTGTCTGTAGCAGGATTGCTGTGAGGTTCCAGGTATCAAACATGACCTGACACTGCACACCTGGTCACACCTGGTCACACCTGGCTGCTTCCCCTGCAGGTGTGGACACATTGTGACTTCTTCACAATAAAAGCCTCCTGTCAGTTTGCCAGTGAAAAGCTTTTACTGTGAAGCAGCGACACAAAGAAAGATTCAGTTTGAGTTGTCATTGACTTAAAACACCTGAAGATTAGAAAGAGTGAAGAACAGCTGATATCTGAAGGTACAAACAGGATCTTGAAAAATATTCCTCCTTTATAATAATAGAGTTTTGTCTGTATTGCAGGACTGTGTCAGACCATCCCTAATAAAGTGTTTGTGTTTGTGTTGGAGTCAAGAACAAACAAGTGAAATGAAAAGACAAGATCCTCAGTAACATGGACAGTACGTTACTGTGAGGTCTCACTGTGTCTGACAGACAGACAGACAGACAGACAGACAGGCAGACAGACAGACAGACACACAGACAGACTCACAGACAGACAGACAGACAGACAGGCAGACAGACAGACAGACACACAGACAGACTCACAGACAGACAGACAGACAGACAGGCAGACAGACAGACAGACACACAGACAGACTCACAGACAGACAGACAGACAGACAGG